ATTGCCACACTTTCTGTGAACAGCTGGCAGCATGCAGGATTCTAGTCTCATGGTTGGACCAGTATGCACAGGAACTAAGCCCACAGCTGGAGTCAACACCTGCAGAGAAAATGTAGGGTTGTGCCCCTCCTTGCGGGCACCATTCTGCAGTGTGCTCACAGTCCCCTTTGAAGTCCACGGGACCTGAATCAGTGAACGCTAGGAAGTAGGCCCTATGTACCAATTTCCATCATTCTCAAGTACTTCAAAAAGATGGAAGCAGGGCAGGAAGTTCAAAAGAATGTGCTCGTGACTGCAGCCTGCAGTCGGGAAATTATAGGCACTGGCTCCTCACAGAGGACACTCAGGCAGGTGCTTTTGCAAACACCTCCTTCTTACCAACAAGCCCCTGCTGACGACTAATAGGAATTTCTAGTTCTCTAGGCATTTCTTGTTCCTCACGGAGATCACCCCTGAAATTTCTAGCACCTAAAAAGAAAAACAGGATTTAGCACCTGTTTGTTTCAGAAATACTTGCTAAAAACAGATCTGCCAAAAGGCCACCTCTAAAATTAGTCATACTTCCTGCTCTGCAAAACACAGTGAAGGGTATTTTTAGTAACTCCTTCATTCCAGGTATCTGGCACTGCCATGCTCTGTGCGTGATTATGGGCAACTTACTAAGCAGGCAACCCTTATTTTTAGCCCAAAAATAGCTCTATGAAAGTGAAAAGCAGGCTAAAAAAAACAAACAAAAAAAAAAAAAACAAGGGTTAGAACAAGATTTTTAAACATCTTAACCAATTATTTTATGTACCCAACTTTGTCTCTAAATTACAAAAGAAGGTAATGGTGGCACTGACTCTTTGCCCTGGTACTATTGCTTTTCTTGCCTACCAGACTATCTTTGTTCCTAAGATATACTGCCACTTCCCTCCATCAAGTTTTTCCAACTGTCTTTTATCAACTTTTAGAAAATATAATTATAACCTATCATATGCCAGAAACTGTGCATTTCATAGTTAACAGAACCACTTGCAGCGAGAGTCAGACATGGTGGTGAAGCTGTATTGCCAGCTAATCAGGAGACAGAGGTAGATGATCACAGTCAAAGGCTAGCCAAGGGAAATACACAAAATCCTATCTGAAAAACAAACTAAGAACAGAAGGACTGGGGTCCCTTCAAGGGGTAGATCACTTACCTAGCCTGCTGAGGCCATGAGTTCAGTCCCCAGTACTACCAAAAAAAGAGGGGCAGGGAAGAGGGGAAGAACCATTTTCAGGGACAGCAAGTGAGACTTCTCTGAATCTCTCACAGTCATCCTCAGTAACTTTGTTCTCTGTCTCCAAGCAAGTGATTCTTTTCAGAATCTCATTCTCTGATAATTTTTTCTGATCCACACATCAACTTAATTCCCTGCGACTGAGAACATCCCAATTAAGGATTTCATATGATCAAGTAAATATTTATTTTAAAGCCGGATTTACAGAGATCCCATTAACTCAAGCCAAAGGAAGACAAAATTAGGTCTCAGCCCAAAGCCGTCCTTTCTTTTCAATCAGTAAAAAAGCCATCTAGATTCAAATTACTTCTAAACAAACAACTTCGGAGGACAGGCAGGTCAAATGCTGTCCTGTGGGTAGTGGGAGCAAAAGGGGTCTCTCGATAAGATAGAATTGAACCTGAAATGAAAGTCAGGAAAAAGTGGCTCTTTTGTCAACTGAACTCAGGCGGTCTGGTTTCCCAGCAAACCATGGAGGATTTCACCGAAAGCACTTTGGAGATGCGTACTAAGTTAAAACACAACACCACACATACCCTCCCAAATGCTTTCAGCCAGTAATCCTCTGGGCTTGGGCACAAATCCCCCAAAACAGTGCAGAGTTTTATATGGCAGCTGTGACCAGCTAGATCAGGCAAAACTTGAAATGCCCCTCATCTTCTTCCTTTTCTCTAGCCTGTTTCATGAACTGATTTCCCAAGAAACACTGCCCTGAATCCTTTTCCTCAGAGCGGGTTGGGGAGGATACACCTATTTCTTGCTAGAGTATTCACAACTTCAGGAATAGGCTGTGTCCATTAAAAAAGAAAGGAAAAGAGAAACGCTAAGTGCTTTATCCAAAAGTATGTACCCCTTAGGGCTGGAGGGGTGTGATGCAAGTGGCAGAGCACCTGCCTAGCAAGGGAGAGGCCCTGAGTTCAAACTCCAGTAGGAAGGTAGAAAGGAGGAAAGGAAGGAGGAAGGGAAGGAGGGAGAAAGGAAAGAAAGAAAGAAGCAAACCATATGTACCCCGAGAACGGAGGAAGTGATGGGGGGGTAAGTGCCTCCCCCAGGCCTTTCACGTCAATGCCTCCCAGTTCTGCTCTCATGAACACCTCTTCCCAGGATGAAAAGAACTTAGGGCGCAAATAGCCTGGGGTTTCCTTCACCTTTGTTTTGGCCTTGCTTAGTAAGGCAATACCCAAAACAAGAGTGGAGCTGGGGATTCGTTAACTCAGTGATCCTAGCAGAGCCATGCACACACACACACACACACACACACACACACACACACACACAAACCCCGAAAAAACACACTTTAATCTCTACATCAGCTAAACCCCACAGCTATTAGTTAAGCATTAAAGGTGTTGGATTTGGGAGATAGCTGCTATGAATGACACCATTGTTTCTTTAAAGCCAGCAATTGAGTAAGCTAAAATCCAGATTTCTCCTCATGCTTGCAATCCCTGGAGCTCAGATCCCCCAGGCTAGAGAAAAACACAGCAGGAAAACCAAGTTTTTCAACATAAACATCCCTGGCTAGCCACCTCTACCCTGTTAGGAACCAATCTTTAACTAGATCAAATCAACTGGTCCAGGGAAATCATTTTGCATCCAATTAATACCTCTTGCCCTTGGAAAGATGGAGAGAAGATGACAGAGGATGGAAAGAACTGGAAAGGGGGGCTCCTCCTGTGCACCCCATCTGAGCAGTAATTCCCTGCATTCCAGGGGGCCCAGCTAAGACTCCAGAGCTGAAGCACTGGGCGGGGGTGGAGGGGGGTAGCAGCTGAGCTCTGACTACATCCCAGGGCACAGTGAGGGCAAAGAGCTTTACGTTAGGAGCAAAAATGCACTGGTGAGGAGCCAGAGGCACAGCCCACCAAGAGAAAGTGGAGAGAAGCCAGGGGAAGCTGTGAGCAGGGCAGGCAGGATGAACGAACTCATGTTTGCCACTTTATTCTTAGCATACAGATTCACCTCTAATTTACAGAGGAAATATGCATGACCAGACTGAATCCTGTAGGCTTCAAATGAAAATCAACCTCCACCACCGGTCTCCACAGGGACAGCTCACTGATTGACACAGCGTCTTCGTGCCCTCACGGACCCGATGTGTTAGGCAGACAGCCCACTATGCACCCAGGAGGAAAGTACTGCTCACTCTCCTTGGACTAGAAAGATGTCTGGAGGGTTTTTTTCTTCTTTGAAGAGCTACTCATGTGAGTTCATACTGAACACTCCCTTCTTGCGTGGAAATTCAGGTAAGAGGCACTTTTAAAAATTAGTCACTCTAACCCTACGTCCCCTCAAAAAAAGGGCTACTCCTTTATGTCTATAGAAATAGAGGACAAATTACAAAGTGAGTGACCCTTGCTCAAATGCAAAGGTCTCCAGGTCAATGTGGGAACAGGAAGGAAAACTAAAATTAAGATGAGGCCAGGGGAAGGGCAGGGCACCTTGGCCCTGTCACCAGAGGATGGTCATAGCACAGGCCTGCCGTGAACCCCACGCTGGGCAGAAGTTTTGGTTCTCAAGCTACTTTCTCAGTTAAGACACCCTGAGCTCCCCTCCTGTCTCTTCAAAAGGGGCTACACCCCCTCCAATTGAGCAACCTCTAGCCTAGGAGGGAAGGGGATTCTTGAGTTTGAGATGACATGAATTTGGCAACCTGGAGTGGCTCTAAGTGTGAGGCAACTCCCTGACTGGGCCAGCCTCACAGCCTGGGGCCACCCAGCCTCAAAAGTCAGAAGAGTCTCCTAGGTTTCTTCTAACAGATCTGAGTTACACCTGAGATCTACCTGCACCTGGCCTGGCAAGGTTTCCCACCATCTAACTTCTAACTAGGCTGGAGAGGTGACCCTCCAGGTCATGGGGTGGTGGTGGGGAATCCTCCTTTGTTTTGCTTTTCCCTCTTCTAGAGAAGGCATCACCCATCTTCTAAAGTCTGGGTGCATCCCTGTAGTTCTGTATTTGCCAGAGGCAGGGTCTTTGGTGCAGCTCCCACCATCTCAGGGCTGGAGAGAATGGAGATGTAAGGGGGATGGAGAGAAGGGGGACGAGAGTGGTTGGTTGGCTTGAGAATGGTGGGTGATGAAGGTGTGAGAGGGGTAGGTGGAGAGAAGCACGGGTTAAGGGATGGGCTGGAGGCTAGGACGGGGTGCATGAAACTGTCTTCTGCAGGGAAAACTCCCTAGCTATTCCAGCCCACACCAGAAGAGGAATGTCCCTAGGGTCTCAGCCTCCCCCCTCCACAAACTCATTTGCAGGACCCAGGAAGGGATCAAACTTTAAGCAACAAGGCTTTCCTCCCGATCTAACCCCCACCCCCGACACACACACACACACACACACACAAAACGGGCTCAGGCCCTCTAGCTCTGGTTCCTGTCTCCAAGATCTGCAGCCCCTACAGTCAGAGAACAGAGCCCCCCCCACCCCCTCCCCCCCGCACTGACGGCCGCCAGGCGGCGCCCTTCGAAAATCAGGCTATGCGGGACCACTTCGCGGCTAAATCAGTCCCCCCCACCACCACCACCAAGACACGGACCCCAGACCACCTTTCAATAGGAGCCTGATGACCCGCTGGAGGGCCGGGCGCGCGCTGGGTTCCCCAGCTCCTTTAACCAGAGCGAAAAGCCAGGTGGAGGGGAGGCGCCCGGCCCGGGACGCCGTTTGGCTGCTTGCAGCGCAGCGCTCTCTGGAGGTCCCGCCGCCCGCGCCCCCGCCGGGATCCCGCAAACCCCGCTCACCCACCTTCTCTCCGGTCAGCACGTGCAGCCCCTCGCGCACCTTGGCGAAGGAGCCCTCGCCCAGCTTCCTGCTGCCGATGAGGTAGTTGCCCACGCGTTTGTGGTGCTGGAAGTCACGGAGCCGCTCGCGGGGCACGCCGCTCACCCAGGCCGGCAGGAAACTTCCCTCGCAGGCCGCCGCCGGCCTGGCCGCGTCCTCCGCGCCGCCGCCGCTCCCGGGCGCCGCGGGTTCACCCAGGAGCCCGTCCCCCGCCGCCGCCGGCATCGCGATCGGCCGCAGCCCGCGCCGCTCCCGCTCGGCTCCCGGGCTCGCAGCTCCTCCTCCTCCTCCTCCTCCGGCGTCCCGGCTGCCCCGGCTCCTCCCGCCGCCGCTCTGGACCCGGCCCCGCCCGGCCCGGGTCTCCGCGCCCAGCGCCCCGGACCGCCGCGCTCACGCCCCCTTCCGCGCCACCGAGCGCGGCGCGCAGACAATAGCGGCCGCCCAGGCGATCGGGAGACCGGGGACCCGCCCCCAAGAAGTTCTTCCTCAGAGGGTCGCCCGACCCCTTTCAGGACACCGGGATCCCGCCCCTGGTCCCGTCCAGAAGGCTAATGACAGTCGCCCTGCTGGAGTGCACAAGGAGCGGCGCTGGCCCGGGAGGGGCGCGGTCGGGAGGCTGGGTCCCGGAGCCTGGTGGCCTCGATCCCGGAGCCTGGTGGCCTCGATCCCGGAGCCCGGGCGCCTCTGCCCTCGCTGTCGCCGTCTGGCCCGCTTGGGCTCGGGTCCGGCTCGCTCGCTGCTAGCGGTGCGCCCAGTGGCGGCTCCCGCCCTAGAGAAGCGCGCGGCGGGCTGCAGGCGCCCTCTGGAAGGCAGCAGAAGAAAGCCCCATTCAGTTTGAATTTGCAGAAATTTAATCCGGTCGCGGGCGGCGGGAACAGATGCGAGCTCCACTCCGCAGCCTGTGCACTTTCAAATCCCTCGTAGCCCCTCCTTCCCCGCGCGCAACAGCCAAACTCGACCCTCGCGGGAGAGGGGAGGGGAGTGGCGGAGTGGGCGGCGGAGCCACCTGAGCGCCAGACAGGGGGACCCTGCGCGGCCTCGGGGACGCGCGCTCCCGGACCGCCCAAGTCGGGCCGCCTCCAGCTGCCGCTCTGTTGGGATTTCTGGGCTTGAGCTTTCTGGACCTTTCAGTGGTGAATTCCCCCACCAGCCGAACCCACCCCAAGCCACCCAACCCCCCCTTAAGCTGTGGGTTGGCTTGGCTGGACCCTAGATGGATGGATAGATGGATGGGTGGACTGAAGGCTGGGGAGGTAGCGGGGCGTGGGCCAGGGCGCGAACGCAGACCCGATTACATTGTTGGAGGAGGAGCAGCCGCAACCGTAATAGTAGCGGCCTCAATGTAGGACCCAGGACGTTTGCTGCCTCTCTGTGTAAGGTTACACCTTGTCTGCCTTCCACTGAAAGGACGCGGGTGGTTACAGGATGAGCTGGACCAGTGCTCACCGCTCCTGGATGCTTTTGTTCTGTGAGCGCTGTGACTGTTGCTCGTCTCGCATAAAGAATTGCAGCGGCTCTGACGACACCGATCCTTTCCAGGATCCCCAACGTCTTCCTGAACCAATAATGAGGAATCCTGGGAGAGAGAAGCAGGAGGGGAGGTAGGGCGGAGGCGTTTACAAAATGCTACCTGTTGAGGTGCCGCGTTTAATACAAACTTAACCTCTGATCGCACCTCATCAAAGCTGAAAGAGAAGATAAGGCGCTCACAAAGTTCCTTTCATTGTTTGCCCCTCAGTAAACAAGGATGGCATGGATCCACATCCGTGTTTGAGATGGGGGAGGGGGGCATCGAGCTGTCATTCATCCAGTCTTAGGGACTCCCTGAGGCATCTGAAAAGTAACCCAGAGAAACGCCTGTTTTCTGTTTTAAATACATGTAATTTTGAAAATGTGACTTTGAAACACTCACATGCTACAAGTCGCCAGCCTTGTTATTATGGCTGAACATATTGCTTGTGTTTTCTGTGGGTGGCTCATTGTTTCAGTTTTCCTGTATTAAAGATACACTTTCTTTCTTCCCTTGCTGTGCCTGGGGGTCCTCTTTCCCCCCACTCTACCCCTACGACTTCTACAGGGCTCTTGCAATGGCTTTCATGTTTCTAATTCAGTAAGGAAATTTTAAGAGGTTAGCAACATGGGGAAGACGGGTGTAACTGGGATGACCAGCACCCCAGTGCCAACAAAGATGTCCCAAACGCTTAATAAATAAGGAATATGGGGCTCACTTTGGGGTCAGAACTATTCTGAAAAGGCTTTGGAGTTTCCCAATGTTGTCTGAATTTAATTTCTTAATTTTAGAGCATTGGCTCTTTATGAAAATTTAGAGATTTATTTATTAAGGTTTAAGGCAAATTTCCCCAGAGACTGTTCATCAAACTATCTTTGGCAAAACAAAAAAAAAATGGTAGAAAACATTTATGATGAAATAGACTTCCTTTCCTTCTAATGTTCTCATTATCCTCTCAGGGCAGAGGTCAGGAAAGAGGTGAAGAAGAGAGAAAATCCAGACCCATTAAATCTCTTTCAAGCCTGATGCCTGGGTTTGATTCAAGTTTACTGCTAATTTCATCAGCTGGGATAGATGCCAAAGAGAAATCCAAATCCTACCCCTGCCTGGCTTCATAACTGGTTTTTGAACTATTCTCTGAAATGGCCTTGTTTAATAAAAAATGACTTCAAAAATTCCATTCTGTAAGACAAATTAGTACACAAAACATTGTGCTGTCCTCATGTTAGATTTGAGAGAAACATCTGAATAGCTGCAGAAGATGTCCTACTAATGAGTTGTACTAAATTCTGGCTTTATCCTCCTGCGGAGTCCCTCCAGTCATGACACTTCAGCTGTCTTCACCCAGGTTCAGGCTTCCTGGCTGCCACATCTTCACCTAGGTGATACTCATCCCAGTCGGCTGTCTGGTCCTTCTTCAATTCAGCAAAGTTGTGCCCTGTCCCATGAAGTCCTCTCCAACCAATGAGCTGCAAGAAGCTAATTGCTTCTCTCTTCTTTCTCACTATATTGTAGAGATTTCACTCTTATGTATTCTATGTTACTTATTGTGAATGTCTTCTTTTAGAATCAGTGAGGACAAGGGCTGTGTCTAATCTTACTTATTTGCCCTGAAATATCTAGGACAGTGCCTGAGATATGGTCACTGCTCAATACGTATTTGTTGAGTAAATGAAAGAGGGTATCCCTTCACTGATTCTTAGTCACATTGTTCACTGCCTTTGGAGAATCGACAACTCTTGGAAGAGTTAACCCTTTCAACACAGGAGCAGTCTCAGTGGGCTGGAAATCTAGGGAAAGATGTCTCAGTTATTTGTACCAGCTGCTTCCTTCTTCCCCTTCTCCTTCCCCCAACTCCTCCTTCCATATGGCTGAGAGACTGTCTGTGTGCTCCCACAGAGTGCCAGCTAAGAAGGCCCAGCTGGAAGCAGTCAAAGGCAATTAGAAGTAATCAAACTGCCATGGTCAGGAAATGAGAGCTGGCCAGAAGGGCTTAGGCTGGCAGAAGCTGCTGATCACTGGAAGAGGAACAGATAGCAGAGCAAAGGCAGTGGACATGAAAAAACTTTTGTGAACTCCTTATATTCATTCTTTCTAAACAAAGCAGCCTGTAAAATAGACCCTAGACTTGAACTGGTGTCCTCAGAGTTCACATCCACCATGATTGTTGAATGTGCTCAAAGCAAAGGCTGAGGAAAAATGGCCTTCTTAGTCACGGTGCCAGGCGTATCCATGCACAGGCAGCCTTAGATGTTAAAGAGCTGGCTGTTCCCAGCATCCCACAGAGAAGCACTTCTGAAAGCTGGATATGACAACTTGCCTCAGTTTCCTTCATCTGTGAAACTGGGATATTAAGGAACTGTGAGATTAGTATGAGACAATGAGCTTAGCTCGATGTGTGGCACATTGTGAGGTCACCTCAGTTCTAGCACACCCCTTCCGTCAGTACTGCTACTGTCATCACAACAGAGATGTCACTCGAAAATGCCTCAGAAGTCCACATACCGCTGGCCTTGGTTACTGGTGACTCTCAAAGCTTGACCTCCAGGTTGGATTACTTCCTTGAATCCAGAGTCCTGTGGGCAACTTTTGTCTTCCACAAAGCTGTCTGATAGGATTTCAGGCTTCACCTGGGATCAACACACACACACACACACACACACACACACACACACACACACACACCTCCTTGCTTCTTTCCTAAGACATTGCATTTCACCCTTTGTTTCTGATCCTTGCTGACCTCATCTCCAATCCTTCAGAAAGAAAATCCTACGATGCCTACCTTCAAACTATACCCACCTATGACCATTTCTTATAGCGCTCACCTCTATCACCTAATTCAAGACACCATCCTCTCTCACATCCCAACCCAAATCCCTTACTTCCACCCCAAACCAGAACCATCTCTTAAAACAGAGCCAGGTATGGTGATTCACATCTGCAGCCTCACTACTCAAGAGGCAGCAAGTGGGAGTATGGAGGTTTGGTGTGGACCCCATCTTATCTATTAAAAGCTGAGTGTGGTGGCATGTACCTGCCATCCCAGCCAAGCAGGAAGCATAAATAGGAGGATCTCAGTCCAAGCTGGCCATAAGCATAAGATCATATTTGAAAAATAACTAAAGCAAAAAAGGTTGGGGGCATGGCTCAAGTGGTAGAGCACCTGCATAGCAAGTGCAATGTTCTGAGTTCAAATCCCAGTATTGCCAAAAAAAAAACCCAAAAACAAAAAGTAGGACTCAGATTGTATCACTTCTCTGACCCCTGCAGAAAAGATGTCCCAAATGCTTTATCTTTGATAACCTCACTCCCGAGAGCCACCATCCCACCCTCTGCTCTTCCTGCAAGCTACCAACCTCTTCCCTTCTTCTGAGCCTTTGATCTTGCTGTTCCCTCCTCATCTCCTCTGGCTGCAAAAACAAAATAACAACAGCCATTTCTTCCTCACCTTTCTAGAGACTGGGATATCCAAGACATAGACACCAGCAGATACACACATAGATAGAAATTTACTACAGGGAATTGACTCACTCCATTATGGAGAACGAGTAGTCCAGGATCAAAGTACCAGCTGATTCAGGTCCTGATGAATGATGCCTTCTCACTGTGTCCTCGTGTGGTAGAGTGAAGGAGAAAAGACAGAGAAAGACAGAGAGACAAGAGAAAACGCATTCTGGGCTCTTCTTATAAGAGGGTCCCCACCCTCATGACC